TGTGTGTGTGTGTGTGTGTGTGTGTGTGTGTGTGTGTGTGTGTGTGTATTAAAAAATTTAAAAGAGAGCACAGTTGTAGTTTGGAGAAAGTTTGCAGATATGTTCCAGATCTAGGTTTGGCGATAGGCAGTGGTAATTTCATCATTTTGAAGGCCGAGCCAGGAAGATTGACCATTGGTACCCAGCTTGGGCTACATAACAAGTCCTTACCTCAAAGCAAGTGGTTTAGAGAACAGAGTATAAGTGCAGGGGGTTTTGGGGTTTTGTGCTTGTCTCTTTTTTCTGATGACTTTTGGGTTTGCTTGTTTGTTGAAACAAGATCTCAGGAGCCTAGAATGACCCTGACCTACTAATCCTCCTGCCTCTTCTCACCACCTCTCCAACCCTTCTCTCCCCCTTCCTTCCCTTTTACCTTCCTCTTCATTCCTTTCTCCTGTCCTGTGGAGTTTTGCGAGGGCTCGCTCAGATTTAAGCCACTGGCTTCTGAGGAATAATTTTATTTGTTTAATATTGAGGCCTATGCAGTATTTGTTCCGTGGGTGGTGCAAATATGCAAAGAAGATCTGAAAAGCAGACCATGGCTCTGAGGAGGGAATGGGTGGGTGAATTTGAGGGTGAGTGGGTATCTGAGTAGATGGTAGAAGGATGGATGGAAGGGTTTTTGGGTGGATGGGTGGATTGATGAGTGAGTAGCTGAGTACATGGATGGGCAGTGAGAGGGTGAGTGGATAGTTGGGGAGATAGATAGGTGGATAGATGGGGTGAGTGGGTGGTTGAGTTGATTGGTGAGTGGATGGAGGAAGTTAGTGGGTGGTTGAATGGATGGACGGAAGGGTGGGTGGAAACCTGCTTTGAGTAGAGGGCTCAGAAAGGCTGTCTTACTGTCCTGTTGGCTTTTTATAGGAATGTTGATTACTTGCACAACACGAAAAGAAGTAGATTGCTGACCTTGTGACCCAACCAGCAACGGTCCATAAACCTGGGTCTCAGCCTTGACCTTGGTCCTCTTCCTGACCTCATAGCTGTGACAGACTGATTGGCTAAAGCTGTGGAGAGAGGCAGGGGAGGGTGGTGGGGCACACACTTACCTGGGTTTTTGTGGTGGTGGTTTGTTTCTGGTTTTCTGTTCTCAGGTAAGTTAACTGAGGACCAGCCAGACTGTCGGAAAGGCTTGTTTGGCCCCAGTCCAAGCTCGGTCCACTGCGCTAGGGCAGAGCAGGATTCTTCCCCACAGTGAGAGCCCTCTGTCCTAGAGATCTCAAGGAGTCTTAGCCAGTACTTTACCACACCTATTCCCAGGCTGGCTACAGGGTCTCCCTATGTAGCCCAGGCTAGCCTTGTACTGGCACTCTCACTGCCTCGGCCACCTGAATGCTGCAGTTACAGGGGTGTGCCCCTGTACATGGCGGGCCAGGGCTCCCGTGTGGTTTATTTCTCAGCTCCATTTGCTCTTACTTTCACAGAGTGGCAAAACAGTGTTGGCCAACTTTCTGACTGAATCTTCAGACATCACCGAATACAACCCAACCCAAGGTGTGAGGTGAGCCTGTGCAGTCTCTGTATCTAGAGCAGTAGTGAGCGTGTGCATCCCCTACCTCAGGAGCTATGCGCGTTCCAAGACTGCTTCCTAAGGAAGGCCCTGCTGCCCTCTTTGTATTTTCAGGATCCTAGAGTTTGAGAACCCACATGTCACCAGCAACAACAAAGGCACGGGCTGTGAATTTGAGCTCTGGGACTGCGGTGGCGACTCGAAGTAGGTTTTCTTTAACATAGCTCTGCTTCGACAGCTGACTGACAAAAAGTAGGGTCAGGGTTGGGTGCTCAGTGGTAGAGATCTACCCAGAATCCCCCAGTGAGGGGCTGGGGCGTGGCTCAGTGGTAGAGCCCCTGCCTAGAATCCCCCAGTGAGAGGATGGGGTGTGGCTCAGTGGTAGAGCACCTGCCTAGAATCCCCCAGTGAGGGACTGGGGTGTGGCTCAGTGGTAGAGCACCTGCCTAGAATCCCCCAGTGAGGGACTGGGGCGTGGCTCAGTGGTAGAGCAGTTGCACATGTGTAAAGCCCCGAGTGCAGCAATAATAATAATAACAACAACAACCACATTGAGAAGCGAGGATGTCCTACCATTGTCTCTTGACTTCCTTCTTTCTTGGCAGATTTGAGTCCTGCTGGCCAGCCCTGATGAAGGATGCCCATGGAGTGGTGATTGTCTTCAATGCTGACATCCCAAGCCACCTAAAGGAAATTGAAATGTGGTATTCCTGCTTTGTACAGCAGCAGTTCCTCCAAGACAGTCACTGCATGCTCGTGGCTCACCACAAACCAGGCTCTGGAGGTGACAAGGGCAGCCTGGCTTTGTGTAAGCACTCTAGACTTCTTTCCTTGCTTTTGTCTCCACTGTTTTAAGCATTTCTCTCTCTGTATGTGTGTGTGTGTGTGTGTGTGCACACGCATGTACATGCATGCCCCCACTCCCATGCACAAGTGCACAAAAGCATAGTTCTATGTTTATTTGGAAATCATAGATCAACCTTAAGTCTCATTCTGTAAGGTTCCTTCTGATTCACCACACAAAAGACAAAAACAAAAACCTGCCAGTACCTACTTGGGTATCTTTCCTATTGCCAAGGGGCGGTTTCAACTTTTTGTTAGGTTTAATTTGACTTTTGAGGCAGGATTTCTCTGGTAGCCCTGACTGTCCTGGAACTCACTCTGTAGACCATACTGGCTTTGAACTCAGAGATCTGCCTGCCTCTGCCTCCTGAGTGCTGGGTTTAAAACCATGCACCGCCACCGATGCCGTTCCCTGTGTGTCAAGCAAGTTAAAACTTATAAGAGTTCAGCATGTCACGGGTGTTGTTAGCACATGCGTGAAGTCTCAGCACTGACAAGATTGAGCAGGAGGACCAAGTCCTAAGCATGCCTGGGTACACTGCAAGACCTAGCAAGGAGGGAGGGTGGAAGAAAGTGGTACTCCAGTAACCTGGGTTGTTACGTGCTAGAAAGAGCTCCTTGTAAAACCTTGAAGCCTAACTAATTAGCCTCATTTCCCCTGTGGAGCTCCCCCCTTGAACAAGCTGAAGCTGGTGCACTCGAACCTGGAGGAAGACCCTGAGGAGGTCCGGGTGGAATTCATCAAGTATTTAAAAAGCATCATCAACTCCATGTCGGAGAGCAGAGACCGCGAGGAGATGCTCATCATCACCTAGTGGCCCTGTGCCTGTGCCTCCCAGACGATGCTGACTTCCCCAGGCAGAGCTGACACCCCGCCTAGCTGCTGACACGCCCTTCTCCCTGTGGCTATAGACATGTTCCTTATGTGCTAGAAGGGACCAGTAAGAGTCAGGCATGGTGGCACAGACCTATGATCCCAGCTCTTGGGAGGCTGAGGTAAGAGGGCTGAGAATTCAAGGCCAGCCTGAGCTACAGGTGAAGCCCTTATCACAGCCCCTCTCCAGAAACAAGAAACTGCCCCGCCTCTCTGTCTCGGCTGTCTACACCATAAACACATCCTTCCAGCAACCTTCTTGGTGCTGTTTTCAGGTTGAGCTGTTTGTTGGTGGTTAAGGGAATGAAATGGCCGGGAGCAGAGAGATGATGTGATCTCTGATGCTAGAACCCAGCTAGAGCTGCTGCTTCCGGACTTGACAGCAGTGCTGTGCACTATGGAGAAATCAACAGCAGGGACCAGTGAGATGGCTCAGCCTTACAGCCTTACAGCCTTACAGCCTGAGTTCAATCCCCAGATCCCACTTAAAGGTGGAAGGAGAGCTCCTCCCCCACCACACACACACACACACACACACACACACACACACACACAACACAATCGCACTATATGGAACTTTAAAAAGGAATGGGCTGGAAAAACGGGTCAGTGGTTAGGAGCACTTGTTGCTCGTGCTGAGGACCTGAGTTCGGATCCCACATTGGGCAGCTATGCCTGTAACTCTAGCTCTAGCTCCAGAACATCCAGCCCTTTTCTGGTCCCTACGGGCACACACACACACAGCATATACTCTCTCACACACACACTCACACACACACAGCATACACTCTCTCTCACACACACTCACACAGACTGTGTTAGCTACTTTTCCACCGCTGTGATAACACACCATGACCAAGGCAACTCTAAGAGTTTATGTGGGCTTCAGGTTCCAGAGAGATAGTAGTTCATCAAGACAGGGAGGCGTGGCATCAGGGACAGGAAACAGAGGATCATATCGAACTGCAGACACACGTCAGAGAGAGCAGGCAGTGAGTGGCCCCCAAACCCACCTCTAGAGACATGTTCCTCAAGCAAGGCCACACCCTCTAGAACTCCCAAACAGTGCCACCAACTGGGAGGCAAGTATTCAAATGCCCAAGGCTATGAGGGACATCTCTTTCAAACCGCCACACAAACACAAATATACACAAATAAGTCTTTTTGTTTTTTAAGGGAGGGGCTCAGCAAAGGACTGGGCCAGTTATGTGGCTCCACAGTAGAGCATGTGCTTGAGTCCCCCGCAAGGGACTGGGGGTGCGGTTTAGAAATGGATCACTAGTTTAGCCTGTAGGAGACCTTCAGCTCCATTTCTAGAACTGAGAAGAAAAAATCAACAATACAAAGGGTCTTTTTAAAGAAATACAAGGTGTTAGGGAGATGGTTCAGTTGGTAGAGCGCTTGACTTGCAAGCATGAGGACCCAAGTTCAATCCCCCAAACCAGTGTAAAAGTGCTGGGCATTGTGCCATGTCCTGGGGAGCCAGAGACACAGATCCCGAGCACTGCTGGCCGGCTAACCTATACTGTTTTGTGAGTTTCAAGCCCATGAGAGACCCCGCCTCAAATATAAGGTGTAGGCTGGTGAGACAGCTGAGTGATCAATCCACTTGCCACACGAGCAGGTGGTGAGGACTGGATTTAGAGTCTCAGAACTCATAAAAAGTCAAGCAAGTGTGACTGCTTGCTGTAATCCCAGTACAGGAGAAGCAAAGACAGAACCCCCAGGGCAAATTGGCTGACTGGACAAGCTGGAATCAGTCAACTCTGGGTTCAGCTCAAGACGCCGACTTAGTAAAGTGGATCAAGGAAGATATCTGTCATCACCTTTGGCCTCTGAAGACGAACGCTCTCTCTCGCTCTCTCTCTCTCTCTCTCTCTCTCTCTCTCTCTCACACACACACACACACACACACACACAGAGAGAGAGAGAGAGAGAGAGAGAGAGAGAGAGAGAGACGGAGACATGCACACAGAAAAGTAGATGTGCCTGAAGGACTGATCACCAAGGCTGTGCCCTGGACTTCACACCCATGTGTGCACATATGCATCATACAAAGGAAACTGGTTATCTTGGCACATGCTTGTCATCACAGCTGGCAGGAAGTAGAAGCAGAAGAGTCAGGACTTCAAGGCTAACCTGGGCTACATGAGACTCTGGATCATTTCTAAACAGCAAGCAGAAACCGTGTGCAAGAGATCACTGGTGAAAGTGTGACAGGCTGACAGGACTGGGTCCCGGCGTTCACTGCGGTCACCATTCTGGGTAACTTGAAGGAACATTGCTAATGTCGACAAGAAAAGGCTGGTGAGATGGCCCAGCAGGTGATGGCGTGTGCTGCCAAGCCTGGTGTCCCGAATTTGATCTGCAGAACCCATGCGGTGGCAGAAAAGAGCCTGCGAACTGTCCTCTGACCTCCACACGCACACCCCACAGCATGCTCACAAGTGTGCTCAGGCACACACACGGTCACAGAAAATAAAAAATAAAGTATGATTCTTGCCTCGATCTCTTCTCATTTCGAGGCTTCACTCTCAACACTAGCGGTCGGAAGACCAAAACTGATACCTGCTGGGTACAAGTCAAAACACCCCCCCCAGTCATAATCACTCTAGATGATTTCAGAGAATTATTGTTTGTTTGCTTTGTTGTTTGGGGGGTTGACTTTGAGACAACTCTGTGTGTAGCCCTGGGTGGCCTGGAACTCATTTTTTTTAGACCAGGCTCTCCATGAACTCACAGATATCTTCTGCCTCCCCAGTGCTGGGATTGAAAGCGTCCACCATCATTAAGGCTGTTGCTGGCTACTGCTGGCTTCTGGTGGCTGCCCGCATTCCTGTCTGTGGCCTTATCCCCCCTGTAGTCTAAGGAGACCCAGCAAGACAGACAGGGATAGGGTTGGATCCCAGACCTCTGCCCTTCCCTGTGTTATATAATCCAACAAGCATGGATTTTTAAATGTCGCCGTCAGGGACCAGAACTAGTAAAGCAGTTGTCACCACAGTGCTGCTGTTTAAACTGTACTAGGCTTTTTCTTTGGGGCCACCAAGCAGCTCCCAAATCAAGCTGCAGAGACTTAGTAGTTAAGAATGCTTGGCCTTAGCTTAGCTCTCATTTCTTGCTAGCATTTGCCTCAGGGCTTTTTGTCTTACTTTTTTTTTTTCTTCCAAGACAGAGTTTCTCTGTACAGCTTTGGAGCCTGTCCTGGAACTCTCTGTAGACCAGGTGGGCCTCAAACTCAGAGATTGCCTGCCTCTGCCTCCCGAGTGCTGGGATTAAAGGCATGCACCACCACCACCTAACCATTTTACCTTTCTATTTTTATTTATTTATTTAATATGTATACAACATTCTGCCTTCATGTATGCCCGCACGTCAGAGGAGGGTGCCAGATCTCATTACAGATGGTTGTGAGCCACCATGTGGTTGCTGGGAATTGAACTCAGGACCTCTGGAAGAGCAGCCAGTGCTCTTAACCGCTAAGCCATCTCTCCAGTCCCCATTTTACCTTTCTTTCCTTCTGTGTATCTTTCTTTTACTGCTTCTCATGCCCGGTTGGCTGGCTGCTGCCTGGCTTCTGGCCCAGGGTGTGTCCCTCTCTTCCTCCTTCATTCTCTTCTCTCTCGAGCCTAGACTTCTGTCTCTGCTATTCCATCTGCCCACCAGCCCTGCCTATCCTGCCATTCAGATTTTTATTAGAACAATCAGGTGTCTTGGGCAGGCAAGATGCAACAAATGCAACACATCTTTATATAATTAAACACACATCTTACATCATTAAACAAATGCAGCATAAACAAATATAAACACACCTTCACATAATTAAAGTAATATTCCACAGCATAAACAAATGGAACAAATCTCTGCCTAGTTAAAATAATATTCCACCACATGGAACCTTAAATGGCCCAAAGGCCCAAGTGTTGAAAGCTTGATCATTGATCTGGTGCTGTTGGAAGGTGGACATCTCTGAGATGTCAGTCCTAACAGGAGGCCATGGGGAGCATGGCCATTGAGGGAACCATGGGATGCCAGTCTTTCATCTGCTTCTCTGTGGCCACGATGGGGGAGATTTGCTCCACTCTACGTCCACTGTAGTATGTCTCTTTCCACAGGCCTGTGCACAACCCACCAGCAACTGAAACCTGGGGGACCATGAGCCAAAGAGTGACCTTCTCTCTCCCTCTCAGAGGTCACCTCAGGTATTTTGTTACAGTAACTAAAATCACTGCCACCACTAGCCGTGGGGGAAAAGGACCCAGTCAGAAAGTGGTTGTAAGGGGTCCAGGAAGAGCAAGCATCATGTTTCCTTGTGTCAGTAAGGTGACAGGAAATGTTCTGTGGTACAGCCCATTGGACAGAAACCTGTGCCTGGCTTACATCATCATTTGAACATCCATTTCTTAAAAATGATCAGGCAAAGTCCCTGGAGATCACTATATTCTGTGTTTAAGGTCAGATAATTGTTCTAGCAAAATTTTTCAGGTCATAGAGCATGCAGATCCATGTTGTGTGTGTATGTGTATGTTGCATATACACGTGGATGCAGGTATGCAAGCTCATGTGTACACACAGAGGCAGGAGGATATCCCTTGGTCTCATATAAAAACCAAAAATAAACTGTTGGAGATGACCCAGCCACACTGACTGCTCTGGCAGAGGACCTGGGTTTCGTTCCCAGCACCCCCTTGCAGCTTAAAGGCATCTGTCCACTTCAACTCCAGAGGGTTTGATGCCCTCTTCTGGCGTCTATGGGCACTGCATGCATGCTATACACATACATGCATGCATGCAAATACTCTTACACATTAAAAAAAAAAAAGAAAACTGAGTTGCCCGGTTGTTATAGAGTTTTCCCAAGCCACTAGCAGCTTCCCAAATAACCTACACAGAGGCAGAATATTAACTATAAATGCTCGATTGATAGCTCAGGCTTGATACTAGCTAACTCTTACACTCTAAATTAACCCATATTTCTCATCTGTGTTTTGCCATGTGGCTCATACCTTCTTATCTCACTTCCTACACTTCCTACTTCTTTGGCGACTAGCTGGCATCTCCTGACTCCACCCTTCCTCATCCCATCTTTCTCATTTTGGCTTTCCCACCTAACTCTATCCTGTTCAGCTATTGGCCAGTCAGCTTGTTTTTTAAACCAATCGTGACATATATTCACACAGTGAGCAGAAGGATTATTCCACAGCACCTGGTCTACAGAGAAAATTCAAGGCCATCCTGGACAACTTCGTGAGATGCTGTCTCAGAATGAAAAGGTGGGGGAAGATGTGGCTCAGGGTAGAGTGCTTGCCTTGAATCCCCCAGTGTGGGGCTGGGGTGTGACTCAGGGTAGAGCACCTGCCTAGAATCCCCCAATGTGGGGCTGGGGAAGCTTCAGCTGTAACATGCTTGCCTAACATGAGAGAGGGCCTAAGTTCAGTCTGTAGCAACACACACACACACTAAATGAGGGAAAGCTTTCTTGCTTTTAATATGAAGAAAAGAGTGTGGTTCTGATGTGACTGCCTGTTTCTCCATGCGTTAAGACGGGAACCATTTTCCTGCTGAAGCTGTAGCAATGGCAGTATGCAGGCCCCCTGTTCCCACTGCAGAATGACAAAGCTCCTGGTGCTCTGAGGTGAGAAACATCCGTTATCCACTCTGCACTCTCAGTTCATTCTAATCCAGGCTTTTGAGTCCTGTGTAGCCCAAGCTGATCTCGAACTCCCCACGAAGCAAAGGATAACTTGAATTCCTGATCCTTCCCCCTCCACCTCCCAAATACTAAGATTACAGGCATGCGCTCCCATGCCCAGTTGATGTGATGCCGCAGATGGAGCCCAGGGATTCGTGTTAGACAAGTACTCTGTCTGCCAAGCACCAGGCCTCTGTCCAGTTCTTTCTTCAGACCATGAAAGCACCACCCCCCAGTTTCTAAGGCTTGGTGCAGACTTACTCTTCAGTTCAGGTCTACTTGGAAAGTCTAGACACCCAAACCTCTGGGAATCAAAACAAGCCTCATCTTCTCGTCTGAATTTCATGCTCAGTTTCTACTCCTAGAAACCTGTTTCATGGGGCTGGAGAGATGGCTCAGTGGGTAAGAGCACTGGCTGCTCGTCCAGAGAACCCGGATTCAGTTCCCCACACCCACATGGCAGCTTACAGCTGTCTGTAACTCCAGTTCCAGCCAAAGGATTTGATACCTTCACAACAATGCACATAAAGTTTAAAAAAAAAAAAAACAAAACTGGTTGTGATGGTGCACGCCTTTAAGCCCAGAACTCAGAAGGCAGAGGCAGGCAGAACTCTGAATTCGAGGCCAGCCTGGTCTACAGAGTGAGTTCCAGGACAGTAAGAGCTGTTATACAGAGAAACCCTATCTTGAAAAAACAAAAACAAAGAAAGTATATATCTCTTTGGGAGTTGGGGAGATGGCCCAGTCAGTACAGCATCTGCTCTGAGAGCAGGGGGACCTGAGTTCAGACCCGTAGCCTCCACGTACAACAACCTGGTAGGATGGTGATTCCTGCAATCTCAGAGATGGACAGATCCCCACCCAGCACGTGCAGGCAGCCAGTTAACCAACTGATGTGTCTCATGCACGCACGACCGATGGACATACTGAGAGACGGCTTAGGGGTAAAGTGAGGCGCAGAGTTTGGATTCCCAGCACTCAGACAAAATCCAGGCACTGAGGCACTCGGGGGAGGGAGAAGGGAGCAGAGCCAGGAGGATCTCAGTAGCATGCTGGCCAGCCAGTTTAGCAAACTACTAAGATGAAGATCCCGTGAGCCTGGTTGAGGCAGACAAGTGGCATTGTGCACCTGCACATACAGGCCAGAAGAGGGCGTCTGATCCCTTGGGCTAGTCAGCATATTATATAAGGGAGGGGAAGCAAAAGCCATCAGTCATCCAGACTTTAGTCTTGCCCCTCTGGTCAGATGGTTGGCATTGTCTCTTGAGAGTCCACTCTCCTTAATTATTGTCTCTCAGTGTAGCAGGAGGCCTTGCAGTCTTCTCGTGCCTGGAGAGGACATCCAGATTGAAGAGAAACTCAGAACAAATAAGCCATTAGCAATTTTTAAGATTTATTCCTACTGAATTGTTTACCATATAGGTTATAAAGTGCGTCTATTAATTCTATTATCCACGGGTTACTTTGAGCTACTTTTATGCTCAACAAACCTGAGAAGATGGCTGGAGATAGGCTAGCCAGGTGCATGCTCTACTTAGGAAAGGCAGTGTCTGAAACACAGTCGCGAGGGTTGACATTAAGAAGGGACTTATGAGTACTAATTACTCTAAGTACTTATGAGGCAAATTCTGTGTCAAGAATCTAGAGGAAGAATTTTTATCCCCCTTAAATGTTTGGCCAGTGATCAATGAACTACATTTCCCATAGCTCCTGAGGCAGTTTCGCTTATCCTTCCCAGAGGGCTGTTCGCCCTTGCGCTGTCCCTGAGTATCGGTGGGAAGACAAAGAGGCGCTATACTCGTCAGCATTGCTTAAATCATATATCGTATTCTTCGTTCCTCTAATCTGGATTCTGCTCCTTTCGGAGCCCAAATAAACTGGGAATAGTCTGTCTCTGCGGTTCCAGCCATGCCGGAGCATTCTGGGAGATGTAGTTCTGGTTCCCCTACAGGCTTGTTGCTTGTCTTGCTCCGTCTCCTCCGGCACCAAATGTGGGCGTTCCGTGGCGGCGAGCGCGTGAACAGACGGGTGGACGTTGTGAGGGTTGGTGACAGATCTGTCTAAGAGCACCATGCGGGCCACCGACCTCCGCGAAGCCAGTGAACTTTCTGTCGCGAGCCCGGCGCGGTCACCGGCTTGCCGCTGAGAGCTCTGGGAAATGTAGTTAGGCACGAGCAGCAGCCGTTAGCTGCGGGTCTGCGGCGGGCACCGCGGCTCCGCAGCTGTCTGCGGCTGGGATCGTCCTCTCACGGTGAGGATTTTCAGCTGGGAAATCAGGGCCAGACCCGGGTTGGACGCGCGGGAAACCGGGCCCTGAGCCCGGTGTCGTGCTCGCCACCTCACCTGTCTTGAGACACCCCCTCACCCCCACCCCTCCACCCCCCGGGGATGCGCCTCGGGTTCACCGTTCAGGTTCCTTCCTTTGGTCTGGAATAGCACATGAGTCCTGTGATGAGAGCGAACCCGAACCCATAGGAAGGGCCAGAGTGGAGCATTTAGATGCGGTCCTTGGGCCGGGGTGATGACTCGGGGTAAGAGCGCTTGTTGTGCAACCATGAGGACTTGAGTTCGAATCCCCAGCACCCACTTTAAAACAAACAAACAAACAAAAAACCAGGAAACACAATAAGAAAAACCTGGGCATGGGACACACCCACCAGTGGACGCCAGCGCTGTGGAGTCAGGGACCAGAGGCTCGCTGGGCTTTCCGGCCGCCAGCCTAGCCTAGCTGCAGGTTTAGAGAAGGGCCCTATTTCTAGGGAATACGGTTGCGAGTGATGGCCTCCCCGGTCCTCTGCAGATGCACACACATACGTGAGCATATTCCACACATAATAAATAATGATGGGTGCCACCCCAGCAAGTCGTCCTCTCATACAGAAGAGGGTACTGGGGTCAGAGAGTCAATAAAGTACCCCGAGTCCACAGTCCAGCTGGGGGCCGACAGACCTCTTGTCACGTGCTGTTTCCTTCAAGCAAACAAAGGCAACATCCAATAAATGACAAGTTTTGTGGGTTTTTTTTTTTTAAGTATGTGGGGAAAGCATGTAGAGGTCAGAAAAAAACTTGTTGAGTTCCGGATTGATTCTTTCCTTTGGCTTGAAATGTGGGTCTTGGGCTTGAGCTCAGGTGGTCAAGGTTCGCAGGGATCACATTTACCTGCTGAGCTATCCCACCACCTATCTTGATTTTTCAGGGGTTGTTGTTTGTTTGTTTGAAATACGGTCTGCATATGTAACCCTAGCCTTACTTGGAACTTGTACTGATCTTCCCGTCTCAGCTTCCCGCAGTCCTGGGATTACAGGCTTTAGCGCCAAGCTGGTGGCCCATGCCTGAGATTCCAGTGCTTGGGAAGCAGAGACAGGAGGATCGAGGCTAACTTAAGGCTCTCCTAGATAGCAAGATCCACACCAGGCGGGACTATATAGTGAAACCTTGTCCCCTCCCCACAAGAGAGAAAAAGAAGAAAGGGGTGGGGCCAGTGAGATGTCTATTGGCGTGAAAGCGCTCGCCACCAAGCCTGCCCTCTGACTTCAATCCCCAGGACCACTTAACAAAATCAAGCAGAACGTGGCTCGCCTGTAATCCCGGTGCCATGCTGGGGAAGCAAGACAGGCAGAATCCAAAAGCTGGATGGCCAACCACCGCCAAGTCAGGGATCATTAGGCTATCAAGACCAGGTCTCAAAAACAGGGACAGTGACAGAAGGACACCCAAGGTTGACCTCTGGCCTCCACATGCACCTGCGCATACATAAACACGAGAGCCAGCATTTGGGCCTGCGTTCTTGAGTTCTGACTCAGCCACTTGACTAGACTGCCCCGGCACCCCCCACACCCTTACATATATGCAGATTACATAGCCTTTAAAGCTTTCTAGTTTTTCAAACCTTATTAAACCTTATGAAAATTTGGATAATTGTAATTTAGACTATCTCTGAGAGCTAAAGATCATGAAGGGCTTTTCCTTTATACGTTCTCCAGAGCAGGCGAATTCAGGGGCTATGTTCTAGTAAAGCTGCAGGAACCCTGAGTTGGCACATTTTTATAAGGCTCTAAGTTGTTATTGCTTAGTAGTAGGTATTTGTAGTAAATAAACATTGCTTTTCTAGCCAGAAAGCTGCTAAAAAACAAAACAAACAAAAAACCTAGGGGCAGAGAAATAGCTCAGCAGTGAGGCGTGCATGCTGCTCTCGCAGAATATCTGAGTTCGGATCCCAGGACCCACTTCAAGTCCAGGGGATCCGATGCCTTCTTCTGCACTCCATATATACACATATACTCACACAAACATATGCCCATATACATAAATAAAATAATAAAAAGAAAATCCTTAATAAAGAAAAATACACTGGGTGGGAAGAGACGTGGGGGTGGGGTACAGTGGCTCAGCCATTATTCCAGAAACAGAGGTACAAGTTCAAGACCAGCCTGACCATCATAGTGAAAGGCTATGTGTAAAGACCCTCTGAGAGAGAACTAAAACCATGTTGAGCATTGTGGCACACACTCCCAGCAGGCAGCTCTCTGTGAGTTTGATGCCAGCCTGGTCTGTGTTTGGGATCTAACAAATTTCCTTAGAAGAGGAAGGAGGGCTGGGGACAAGAAGTGAGAATACTCGCTAAGCACACCAAAGCTCTGGGTTCGGTCCACAGCACCACACTAGGTGGGATGGCGCCTGCCTGTAATCCCAACACTTGGAAAGTGGAGGCAAGAGGACCAGGAGTTCGAGGTTACCCTTGGCTACATAGTGAGTTTGAGGCCAACCTGGGCTATATAAGACAGACAAAAATCCTTCCGTCCCATATGCCTGAAAGTCAAGAACTTACTTAGGAAAATCCTGAGAAGTGGAGAGAGAAGAAAGAGGAAGGGAAGGGAGGGAAAACACGGGCTACATAGCCCCCCCATGAGGTGTATTTATTTTAGGGTTCCTGATGTTCTGTTGTTCTTCACGGTCCACAGTTCAGGAAGCTTCTGGAACACACGACCCCTCTGCAATGGAAACAAGATCTGGATCCCCAGCTTCAGCCATGTTCTCAGAGCCCTGGTGAGAACTGGACCTGCAGCATCTGTGTTACCAGGGCTGACAAGCAGTTGAACCCCACTCCTCGACTTTGAGATCTACATGGATCCTGGTGTGGTCTTCATGCTACCTTATGACCCCCGAGGGAGCGCTGGGCCCTCCCGTCTGCTATCTTTAAGTGGCTTGTGTCCTCCATCCCCCCTGAAGAGTTGCTTTGGGACCTCCATTAGGATCTTCCCCGTTGTCAGCTGATGACTTTCTAGGCAACCCTCTTGTGGCAATGTGGCTCCTGAGCGGGTGTGGGGACAGTAGCATCCCTCCTTTGCTTCACAGAGCCTGGACTCAGTGTCCAGGTGCTGTCCCCATGGGCTATCCAGTTCCTTTCTAGGGAACACATGGGAGAGCCTGTACCAGGGAAAGAGGGGTCGCAGATGAAGACAGTAGACCCAGCTGGGTGTGGGGCTTCACACCTGTGATCCCAGCATCTTGGGAGGCAGAGGCGAGGACATTGGTGGGAGTTTGAGGTCAGTCTGAGCCATGTGGTGCAACTCTATCTGAGACAAAGCTAGATGAGAGCCTCTTTAGCCACGGCCTCTCAGCCCCAATCCTTGGTTGAGCAGCGAGTGGGGGTCAGGACCCTTCTCCATCATTGGAGCAGCCTGTGTGTGTGGAAATCTCTAGCTTCTCGATGATTTTATGTCATATAGTCATTCTCCTCCTGCCCAGCCCAATGATGTACAGTCACCAAAATTAGCTAGAGTCAGGCTTTGGCTCCCTGTGTGCAGCAGTACAGGCTGGGGCAAGCCCTTTTGCTTCCCTGAGCCTGTTTCTCTGTATATGGATATCAGATAAAATAACAGATGAGGATTGGGAATGTACTGCAGTGGTCACCTGCCTAGAACCTCTCAGTGAGGGGCTGGGGTGTGGCTTAATGGTAGAGCACCTGCCTAGAACCCCCAGTGAGGGGCTGGGGTGTGGCTCAGTGGTAGAGCCCCTGCCTAGAATCCCCCTGTGAGGGGCTGGGGTGTGGCTCAGTGGTAGAGCCCCTGCCTAGAATCCCCCAGTGAGGGGCTGGGGGTGTGGCTCAGTGGTAGAGCACCTGCTTAAAATCCCCCAGTGAGGGCTGGGGTGTGGCTCAGTGGTAGAGCACCTGCCCAACACACAATATATGCCCAGACAATATATGAAATAAGTAGTAAGTTTAAAAGGACTTTATAAAATTACAGCGTGCTAACACATGAAAGTTCTTTTTGTTAGTGTTTTGTGTGTGTGTGTGTGTGTATAAACAGGGCTTCACTGTATAGATGAGGCTGACCCCAAACTGTGGTCCTTCTGCCTCAGCTCCTGAAACTTGGGGTCACAGTTGCTAGTCACACACTCAGCTCAGTCTTATTTATTATTGGTGCTTGCTCTTTGCCCAGCAACAGTCTCAAGCGCAGCCTCCCTCCCGCTCCTGCCCTTATCTTCTTCCCGCAGTTGCCCCCGGTCTCTCCCTACGGCCGCCACCAAAGTCCTCCTAAGCTCTGGACAGCCTCCACCCTGTCTCATAACCACAGTTGCTACCTGCCTGGCCACCAGGACTCTGCCCTTGGGCATCATTAATCAGCACCCCTTCACGTGTCAGTCACACCATCCCAAGTGGCTATCAGTCACACCCTCCACTTGGTGGTCAAATTAGTGTTTCCAAACCGTTCCTACCTCCTCCTTCCTCACCCCACCCCAACGGTGTGAAACAGTAGCTGGTGAGCTTTCCCAGGGGTTTAAAAGAAACCAGATGAACATAGAAAGAGAATGCAAGCTCACTGAGATCCTGATCCTGAACTGGCTCTGATACTCAGCCGGGCGTGGTGAAACTGAGGTAGGAGAACTCGGGGTGGAGGGAAAAGAAAAAAGGGCCCGAAAAGATAACCCAGTGGTTAAGAGTTTCTATTACTCAGTAATGAGGAGCGTAGTTCAGATCCCAGCACCTACACAACAAGTTGCATGTCACTTTCCGGCCTGCAAACCCAACCCCAAGAGGTCAGAGACAGGAGGATTGCTGGGACTTGTTGGCTCCCAGCCTGAGGAATCGAGAGCCCCGGGTTCGGGGAGAGACCCTGCTTCCAATGGCCTCTATACATACACTCAGGCACAAATGCACACAAATATTTTAAGTCCTTTTTTTGTAAAGGCATGGTAGATTGTACCTTCAATCCCAGCACTCAGAGGCAGAAGCAGGCAGATCTCTGTGAGTTAGAGGCCAGTCTGGACTACCTAGAGAAGTCTAAGCCAGCCAGGGCTACATAGTAACACTGTTTCAGAAATAAAAGTGTTCAATCTCTTGCTGTGGCTGTGGCATAGTATGGGTGGATAATCAAATAACTAAGGCCTGGGGCTATAGCTCACGTGCTAGAGTGTTTCCCTAGTGTGTGCAAATCCCTGGTTTCTATCCCCCCCACAAGTACTTAAACTGGCTGTGGTGGTACACACCTGCCGTCCTAGTGTTTGGGAGTCAGAAGCAGGAGGGTTGGAGGCTCACAAGCATCCTCAGTGATGAGTGGTGGTGGCACACGCCTTTAATCCCAGCACTCGGAAGACAGAGGCAGGAGGATTTCAAGGCCAGCCTGATCTACGTAGTGAATTCTAAGACAGCCAGGGCTACTGAGAGAAACCCTGTCTCTCAAAAAGAAAAAGAAAAAAGAGCATCCTTGGCTATACAGAGTTCAAGGCTAGCCTGGGCTACAGGAGACCTTGTCACAAACAAGCAAACAGACAAACAAGAACTCTAATTCCTTAAGATCATAACACTTACCAGTAGTGGTGGCGCACGCCTTTAATCCCAGCATCCAGGAAGCCGAGGCAGGTGGATCTCTGTGAGTTCCAGGCCAGCCTGGTCTACAAAGCAAGTTCCAGGACAGCCAAGGCTTCACCAAGAAACCCCGACTCAAAAAACAAAACACAAACAAAAAAAATGATACCAGTTTACATCTCATTATTGTACTATACTCCATAGTTCCTCAGTGGGTCCAGAGGGGAAAGGACTAATTCATGGACCCTGAGGTAATAGATCTCATTTGAATGTTCTCTGTTTTTAAGACCAAAGAGTTCACCTTGAATTGGGAACCTTCTGAAAGTTACCCGCGAGGGACCTCAAGTAGAACCTCTGGAGAAGCCCTGCAGCACCCATGCCAGACAATACCACAGCGCGCTCAGGGACCCTCCACTGGCTTCAGGATCTCCTGGAGGGAAAACTAAGCCGTGTCATTCCCGGGAAGGGAGCTCCAGGCAGGACGGAAGAGAGAAGAGCCATCCAGGTAAGTCCCGTGCTCCAGTCAGAAGCGTGTAGGCAGAGGCCCATGGGTGTTACATGTGTGCCTAGTGCCAAATAATGAGAGGATCTGAGGGGAAAGGTCTGGCTAAGCAGGGAGCTCTGATGGACAGCTTAGCTGTAGTGGTCAAAAGAAAACAGCCCTGTCTTCAAGGGTGCCCCTCCTCCGTGCCAGTGAGCCGTGAGTGTGAATTACTTTCCTTGTCCCTTGGCCAAAATACCTGACAGGGCTGGAGAGACGACTCATCAGTTACAAGCACTTGCTGCTCTTGCAGAGGACCCCAGTGTGAGTCCCAGCACCCATATTGGTTGGCTTACAACTGGAGTTACCCGTAACTCCAGCACCACTTGACACACAGTGACCTGCACATACAATGGCGCGCGCACACGCACGCGCACACACACACAGAGTTTAAAATTTGTAGATACCTGACAGAAAACAGCTAAAGGGAAGAAAGGTTTATTTAGGCTCATAGTTTAAAGCAATGGTTCTCAACCTGTGGGTCACAACCTTTTAGGAGGTCAAATGGCTCTTTCAGAGAGATCACATATCAGATCTCCTGCATATCAGATATTTACATTATGATTCATAACACTAGCAAAATCACAGTTATGAAGTAGCAAAGAAACAATGTTACAGTTGCATCAAAGGGTTGCAGCGTCAGGAAGGGTGAGAAGCAGGGTCTGGAGGAGTCAGTCCCTCACAGCAGGAAGGCGGGGCAGAGCTCAGGGTAGCAGGAGTGTGTGGCAGAGACTCTTGTGGTGGTGGATACTGAAGGAGGACTAGCCAGAAGTGGGTCCAGTCCTCAGAGGCCTGCCCACAGTGGCCTGCTTCCGCCAGCCAAGCCTCCACAGCCTTCACAAGAGCCAGGAGAGACGACCCCGCCGTTAGAGCACTTCCTGCTCTTAGAGAAGGTTCCTAGCACCCACACTGGGCATCTCACAACCACTCTGACAGACTCTTCTGGCTTTCTCAGACACTGGCCCTCACGTGTCCTGCCTACCCACACAAATACACATAAAAAAAAAAAAACAGCAGCACAAGCCAGGGACCGCTCACTCAGACATGAGCCTTCGGAGGACATCTCCGATCAAACTGTAATGCCACGTATTATGAGAAGGCCTTTGTCCCTTCTGCTGTCTGACGGGAAACCACCCTTGGGAGTGATCCACAGGGACTAAGCAGACTCTGTGTTCGTGGTCAGTCCCTGAAACACCCCACTTGGAATCTGCGGGCAATTTCAGGCTTATCATAGACTTGACTCGAAGCTGCACCCATTCCACAGGGAGCTTTCAGAGAGACGCATGGAGAGACCATAGCTGGTGCCTCCTTGCTGAGTGCTGCATGTGGTGGTGTGTTGCAGTCCCAGTACCGGGGAGGCACAGGAAGGTGGATCTCTGTGATTTCAAGGCCAGCCTGGTCTTCATAGTGAGTTTTAGGCCAGCCAGAGCTACATAGCGAGACTCTGTTTCCAAAAGAAGGGAAACATAGGTTGGGGGAGAAGAAGAGAAAAGGAAAATTGCTGGGAACCAGGCATGATGGTACACACTGTAACCATGGCACTCAGGAGGCTGAAGTAGGAAGACCACAGATTCGAGGCCTGCCCGGGCCACATAGTGAGAAAAGAAAGCCGGAAGTCAAGGATTTCCCCTAATGGCCAGGCTCCATGGAAGATGCCCCAGACCAGAGACCTCCCAAGGTCATCCTGTCCCAGATGACAGGACTCCAAGCATCAGAAGCCCATGCCCTGTCCCTTTTACTGTGTCTGGCCCTGTGCCACAGCAGGTCCATGCTGATGGAAGATTGACCCAAGCCCTCTGATCCAAGACAATGCCCTCTGAACGACAGACTCATGATGATAGGTCCTGACAAGGGCTGGGCATAGAAGCCTGGCCTTGGCTCCAGGTCCTCGCAGTGGGGGCCAGGCTCTGACTCACCTTCATGACTTAAACTTGAGTATACAGCTGAACTCGAGCAAGCTTGTTTCGATGTAGCTCATTTACGTGTTATTTGATTTGATTTGAATTGATTTAATGTGTGTGTGTGTGTGTGTGTGTGTATGTGTATCTGAGAGAAAGATACACATGTGCCGTAGCACTTATGGAAGTCAAAAGACAACTTCCTTCTTGTTGGGGGTGTCTCTTGCCCCTTCCATGCTTGTGGACCTAGGCTAAGCGACCCCTGAACTTCCGGCCTAGCTTCGTTCCTGTCTTCTGCCTCTCATCTTCTCTCTGGGACTTACAGACGTGTGCACACCACCCAGTTGGGTTTCTTGACATAGGTCAAACCCAGGTCCACAGACTTGTGCAGCATCTGGGCCATCTCACCAGTCCCCACCCTCCCTCTCTCTCTCTCTCTCTCTCTCTCTCTCTCTTTCTCTCTCTCTCTCTCTCTCTCTCTCTCTCTCTCTCTCTCACACACACACACACACACACACACACACACACACACTTTCTAACAGCCCCCCCATTTTGCGACATAGTTTCCTATGTAGCCCCAGCTGTCCTGAAATTCACACTGTAACTAGACCAGGCTAGCAAACTCAGACTCACAGAGATCTGCCTGCCTCTGCCTCCCAAGTACTAGGATTAAAGGTGTGCGCCACCACCACCCGGGCACAACAGCACATTTTTATGGTTTGTAAAATCTTGGTTTGTAAAATCCTCCCTGTAACTTTGTAGGAAAGCTCTTTTACATATGATGCTTTGGAGGGAAGCCAAGGACCACATAGGAGAGGTGTGCCAGCTGAAAGGGCCCATGGAACACAGAGGGCAGCCATTCATCTGGAATCCTAGCCCCAAATGCAGGCCCTCCGTGTAGCTTTGTGACCAGCCCAATTTGGAAGGAAGGGAGCTGGAATCTGCCTGAAGGGTGGTTTAGGGGCCAGCATCAGCTCAGTCTCAGCAGCCTGGCTTCCACTTAGGAGCCCCCTGCGTCACTATTCTATTGTTTCTGACCTTTGTGTGTTTGGGGATTGGTAGTGTGTGTGTGTGTGTGTGTGTGTGTGTGTGTGTGTGTGTGTGTGTGTGTGTGTGTATACATGTACCTCCAGGCTGGCACAGGCCAGCTTTTGGGAGTTGGCTCTTTCTGCTATAGAGCCCAGGAATCAAACTCAGGTGGTCAGACTTACACACCAAACACATTTACCCACTGAGCCATCTCACCAGCCCACTTCTGCAATTTTTTTAAACTTTTTATTACAGTTTTCCTATTAATAACAAAAGTAAAAATAATAATATGGGAAAAGTCTAGTTTGCGATGGTGAAGAACCATGGGTGACATCTGAATACCTTTGGGACACTTGCTGACTAGATGAGCATGCGCATGTGTGTTTGTACCCTTTCCTCGCTGATGACCCTTAAAAGTGGAATCACATACCTCTAGCTCTGCGCACCCCTGGCATGGGCCAGTGGCCCTAGAAACACTGGGCCTGTTTATCAGCAGGCCAGCTTGCTCTTCTAGGCGATACTGCATGCAGACACAAGGGGGCGATATGTGTCCGTGAATGTCCCCCACAAAGCCTGCAGCAGACAGCAGCTCAGGAACCTGATCTTCAAGCCCGGAGACAGAAAACAGAGATTGTTTTAACCAGGTCACCCCGAGCCACTCCTGGCTTACTCTGCTCTCTGTTCCTATAAGAAACCTTGGGAGTTGGGCATCGGAGCTCACACAGTGGCAGAGGCAGGTGGATCTCTGTGGGTTTGAGGCAATCCTGACCAGCATAGAGAGTTCTGGGACAGCCAGACAGGATACTTGGTGAGATCCTGTTGGGGCTGCGGGGGAGGGGTGGTATTCTTGTTGAGTGGCTAGCTCCACTGGTAAACAAGCACAAAAACCTGCATTGACTCCCCAGAAACCACACAAAAGGCCAGCCTGGGGCCTCATGCTTGTAATGCCAGCGGAGATGTGGGGCAGGAGAATCCCTGGGGCTCACAGCCTAGCCTAATGGCTGACCACTTAGGGACCCTGCCTTAAAAGAGACAAGCTCGGAGCTGGAGAGATGGCTCAGTGGTTAAGCACACTTGGCTGCTCTTCCAGAGGACCTGGGTTCAAGTCTCAGTACCCACAAGGCAGCTCACAACAGTCTGTAACTCTAGTCCCAGGGATCTGACACCCTCACACAGACACACATGCAGGCAAAACACCAACACATATAAGTAAATAATCTAGAGAGAGGAGAGAAAAGTGCTTCATGTCTGAGAACAATCCCCAAGGTTGCCTGCATGTGTGCACACACACACAGAAACCTTGGCTTATGAGGAAGAAGAGAATTCACTCATTCGCTGATGTTGCCTGCATTTGACAGATCTTCCTTCATTTTGCAGCCTTGGGCTTTAACAATAGGTAACAGAGCCACTCAGACTGCTCCCCTCAACCTCGTGCCCTCTACCCCCTCCCCGCTCGCTCCAAGGATTGAGTGGGAACACCTTACCAAGGTCCCTGGGTCATGCAGACAGACCCTGGTGCCTCCTCATCTCCCTCCACCTGTTTGTTTTATTTGCCTTTTGGGCTTGGTTGTTGCTGGTGGTGGTGGTGGTGGTGGTGGCGGTGGTGGTGGTGGTGGCTTTGTGTTTGTTTAAGACAGGGTCTCACTCCAAAGCTCTGGTTGGCCTGGAACTTGCTAGCCTTCTGCCTCCACCTCTGCCCTTCCGGGGTTTCAGGCTTGCACCGCCATACCCAACTTCCTCTGTCTATTTCCTGATCACCTTAGGCTTCCTTCAGCAGCCTCCACACTTGTCCCTCAATGTCAGATCTCGCCAGGCACTTCCTGGCAGGTTCTTTCCCTGCATTTCACCAGAGATCACCTTCCCAGAAGTATCTGAGGACTCTGTGGTGTCAGATGATGTAATTCTCCCCGCCCCCCTTCTCCAAGCTCCCCTGGGGCCCAGCACATCCACTTTCAAAACACTTAGCAAGCTGGACTGCCTGCCCTTCCTCTAGGATGGGAGTCCACGGAGAGCCTGGGGTCGGACTTGTCCATCTCC